AAAATCTTAAGTTGTCTAGAATTTATTTTAACTTATAGGAGTATTTTTGGTTTAATTCAGTTATAAATAGTAAGTAAACAACTTACCACTAGACGTGGTCAAGTGTTCAAGATAATCAGATGACTTTCATCTTTTTTTTTAATAAGCGTTTTGAAATCAAATTTAAACGAAAATCGCAAAAAAAATTACCGCACTTCAAATTATAAATTACCGAACTGCGCACGGGATCGTTTTTCGTCAAGCAATGATCGTGTCATACATTTTTTCATCCGTGTTACCATAGATACCCGCACATTACAAAGATTAAACTATATATTCACTATAATAACGCTAAAATTACGAGGACATAATAATACTGTAATAGTGTAGTGTTGTTACTGTACCAAAAATCAGAAAGATTTAAAGATGATGTTTTACGTGTTTTCACTTTTCACTTACCCACCCAGTACAACACATAATTTTTATTTTATTTTTCATCCATGTTATCAAGTTGGCTCATCCAAATTCAAGCCAAAAATAGACTGGCAGACAGTCAGATAGTCTCTTTATTTTAAGTTGTTATAACATTTTTTTTCTGTTTATTATTTATTTTTTATTTTATATTGTTTCTAATTTCATCCCTGTCACTAAAGTAACCCATTATTTAACAAAAATAATTTAATTTTCATACCAAAAATACCTAAGAACCCTTTATTCCTCATTTTATCTCCTTATAGGTCATTAATCGAAATAAAAACTATCCTATCTTTAATTTATACCGAATCACACATATTGAACATTATCAAAATTGGTTGAGTAGTTTCAGAAATTGTTTTATGATAACACCATACATCAGTATAGTGTTATCGGCGATGAGATCACAAAAAAATCATTTTCTGTGTTCTTGGTAAAATCACCAGGGATTTTATCAATGATCATATATTACATATTGCATAATTTACACCACGCCGGTGTCATTACTGATGAACTCAGGAATATACGGAATATTTGTATAATTTGAGCACAAACTTTAGTATTTAATGTTCATATTAAATTTAATGCACTTCTATTTAATAGAAATAATTAGATTTTATAACAATATCGTCCTGCAATAGAGATTTCTAGGATATTATCGATATGATTTCGGGAAATACCACAAATCCACAATGGACATTAAAACCTGTCATGCTAAAATATCGAAAATCGACCAATCCATTAAACAGAGTTGTACACATATTGAGTCAATATGAATTAATAAGTGAATTGAAAAACCCCCAGAAAATAAATTGTCAGATGAAGAAGCCCGGCAAAAATCCCCGACACTACAACCAAAAAAAAACTGTGACTAAAAATGTTCGATATTTTTATTGTTGTATCATTCGAACAATTTATGATGAACTTGTGACAAATTTCCAAGCATTACTATTGTGAAACAAAAAAAAATGTATCTATGTGAAACCAAATATTATAGTAAATTTTAACTTCCCTGACATTAAATAATTATGATATATATATATATAATATAGGTAATGTTTGGTATTATTTATAGCAACTAATTTTGTAAAAAAATCACTAAAATATACACGTTGTTTAACATTGTTCACAAACTGTACACCGTGGCGTAATGTTTAAGAATTTAAAATAATCAAAACTGACAAGTTTAATATAATAAACTTCTATAAAATATAATCGCATAAACAAAAGCCTAAATACTAAATAAATTAAAATTAAATAAATAAATAACAGACTATGTTCTACTATGCACCTAAGTTTCGACGTTTTTGGTTCGCGTTTTAATATTAACGATTCCATTTTTCTTCGTTATTTATTCTTCCGATGAAAAGTACGCAGATTTATGCAGATACGAAATTTACATTTACACATCGTATATATTATACTTCGAACGAAACAAAACCGCTCGAATAAAATAAAATGAAAAATTGTTTGTTATTTGAGTGACATCGCGCGATCGTTTACTGCGGGTTATTATTGTTTGAGACATTTATACAAACATATCAGAGTTCAAATATATTATATAGTCAATTCGTAAAATATAAGATATAAAATATATTCGAATGAATACGACGAAATATTGAGCATTTTTCTTTCTTTTTTTCTTTTTTTTTCGAGAATGTGATTGATTACGATTTGGTAATTGAAGGATTTCGCTCAACGATCGTGCTTTTCAGAGAAATTCACGTTTTGATTATTTCTGACTGAAAAAATTATTTTCGTATTTTCTGATGTGCAACACATTCGGTTAACTGTATAGATGATATAACGTGATTACACAAAATATGCCATAGACATTTTAGATTATAAATACCTAGCTCTTAACTCAAAAAAACGGTAAAAGTTAAATCAAGTAAAATTTAAAAGGTTTTTTTTTTTTTTTATCCTAGTCTAACGTGGCTAAATTGGTTTTATTATGAACAATATATTTTTAAAACATATTTTCTTGGTTTCTAAAGAGATTTGAAAATGAAGCTGTCTAGAAACTAAACGAATTTCTTCTTCTCACTTATCATAATAATATTGACAACAAACTAATTTTTTTTTTGCCGAACACATGAATTTTAATCCCATAAATTTTTGTACGAAAGTAGATTAGGTTATAATTAAATGATAACTTTCGAATTATTATATAATTACTACGTTTTAGTTATTAAATTACGTATCATAAGTGAAAATTCAATTTAATTTTAGAGAGAGAGAGACTATTTTAGTGATAAACAAAAAAAAAATCATTACTTGTATTATACATTTATTCCTATTCATTGTCACACATACAAACATAATAAGCCATAAAAGATCATTCTAATTTCGAGGTCAATATGATTTTTTTTTTTTTGATGGGAGCTAGAATAATGATTTATTATTATTACTTTTTTTTTAAATAGGGGAGCTATGGATGATTTTGGATGGCTAAGCTCCCCATAGGCCTACCAAACTCCGCCTACACGAATGCAATTGTTATAGAGTATAATCATCTCCGATTTCAACTTAATTTCCATAAGGTAAGTAAAATATATTTTATAGGTAACGAGACCAAAGTATAATGTCACTATATTTTTGTAATTATCAAATAATAAAATGGACCAAAATACGTAATCATCTGACAAAAAAAAACCACTACCGCCACGCTCGTCAAAACCAAAAAATGAAAAATGAAATTTTTAGCTACTCTTATACTGGCTCCATTTACGGACGAAAAAGACGACAGGGATTCACGTTTTTATTTGAAACTCGACTTGAATGGATCGTCCAGATAAAAAAAAATAAATAAACAATTGTATACATAAAAGAACCTATTCATTTATAACGATCTAGAGAATTTCTTAGAGGATTTTAAGTGATTCCATGTTTATTTCAATCAATGTTTACTTCAGCCGTTTACGGTTTGTGCTAACACTATTTTCAATTGTTTCACCCTTACTCGCTATATCTTAAATGAATATACACTTTGAATTTTTATATCCTTCCTCAGCTTGTGTTATATTGTAGTTGATTGTTTAACATTAAGAAATTCACCCTGTGCGTAATATTCTCACAACACTACACGATAAATCATCGTTTCTATACTGCATCAGCATGTATCTCAAAATTTGATAAATCTAGATGATTATATCGATACAAATAAAACAAGTGTTTCCGAAAATGATTTTTTCTACAATTGTTTTTGTTAGATTCGTGATTTACAGCGTAACCACGAAATTGATAATATCATTATTTATAGAAAAACCTTGTATCTCAGCCAATAACACACGCCGATAAGTAGCCCAGGGGTTATTTTTCGGAAATGTTTTTTTGAATATTCTGTAAAAACAACAAAAACTGAAATACGCACTGTTGCAACATTAACAACAATATAGTATTCGTAGTAATAGCCCTTGAGTATAATAATTATATATTTCGACTGTTTTTACAAAAACGAAAGAGCTCGAACAAAATATTGAAAGTTTCCGTTTTGGAAGCAGATTTCGCTGTATCGTTGAAAAACGAAAAATCCCGAAACGACGATAAAAAAAAATACATGTATAGATATATAAAGTCTTCAAACAAGCTGCACGTATTATACGGATGACAACGCGAAAAGAGCGCCTCGTTACGTCTCACTAATGTAATACAACGTAACACAAAGTCGTAAAACCGCTCGGACCGAATCACTTTGGAATCCTATTTACTTTATTATTCGTTATGTGGATAAATACTTATATATATTTATACTTATATCGCATAAAGGTATATACAATTCGAAATACCTGGGCTGCTATATACCGAAAGCGGTTTACAGAAACACAAAAGATTAAAATATTTAAGTATATCATATATATATATGACCTGTATAGGTTTTGTTTTTTTTTTTTTTTTTCTGAAAACAAGTTGTACAGCGTATGTTCAACATACATAGGCCTACATAAAAGTACTAGCAAAAAAATATTTTGCCGAGAATCACCGTGTCTGCTCTGTAGTCTTTTCGTCCTCGCATTGTTCTTCTACGTGGCCGGAATTCTTCATAGAAAAATATAAATTTCTTCATTATATACATTTCTAAATTATTCATATTTCGCATTTGTGTACCGATTCGTTTTCGCGGTCATTACGCGTGGAATAAAATGTAACATCATCATGGAAGAAAAAACGTTGTTTAGCAAGTATTATAACATGGCTTACGAGACTTATTATAATAAATAAGATAAATTACAAATCGTGCCGGTAGTTAAACTCAGTGTATATTATATTATTGTTCCTCCAGTCTGTAGGCACCTAACATCGAAATTTTCATATGCCTGCTTATTTGTAGTCAAATTAAGTATTTAGATAAATTATATATATCTAGAATTTACAAAAATTCGCTGTTTATCTTTTCCAAAAAAAAAAAATTTTCCTCGGTAATTCGATAAAAGAAAAGTGCCCAGAAACTGAACGACCATTATTGCACTATATGTATAATTATATGATAAAATTATATTTTTCGAATAAACACATACACGTCTGTGAATTTACTTTTTTTTTTTCGCCAGAGGACATTTTGAGTCGGATGCATTTTACGCGTTCACAATGACGGCATGAAAGTGTATTATCTACGTCAATATTCCGTCGGTTGAAAAACGATTACTGGCGATGAAAGACAAAGCGACGTGCAAAATGTAGTAAAGTTCCGGTCGTTTTATACGTGAACGAAAATTACGTAATTGCTGGTACTATCTCAACCTCTCGGCACCCGTTTCCGATTCTATCGTATTAGAAATTAAATCGCTAAAGTCATACATGTAATATAAGAGAGGTACTTTGACCTTACATTTTAGTATGGATCAGGATTTTCGAAACTACCTAACATGCGATTATTGATTATATAAATTACTGTTGCCAACTTTTCCATTTTCAAATACTGTACACAACTGACACACTTATATAGAGTACCTATAACATAAAATATATCAATCGCTATATAGTTTAAATAGCTCAATTTTTGTAATTTTTATGAGCAGTTATGCGTTAAAAACAAAAAAAGTCACAGAAAACCTAAAAATACGTCAAGCTATAGTGGAAAACTGTACATTTACCTTCCAGTTTTAAAATTTAATAACTCTACCTACACCGGAGGAACACTGTGGAAAATCTAGTTAAACTTGGATGGTTGGAAACCAATTTCGCAAAACACTAAATCAAATGCTATCATAATATTTGGACGATAAGATTCATCGGATGTTTGATAAGAGCCTCTAAAATATTAACTTTTATTAAACCTTATATTAGCTTTTTTCGCTCCACAACAAACAGTAATCTGAATCGTAATTCAGCTTTAATTTCCTTTGAAATTTAACTTATACGATTGTATAATACAACTAACCTATCAGTTATTAGGGGACGTCAAACCAACATTTTCCGTTTATTTTGTAACTAGTCTTTTAATTTGGGGGCTGATGGAGGGAAAGGTAGTTTTTAATTTTTTTCAATCATTAGTATATTTTACATCAATTTATATAATTTAAAGAGCACTGTACCTAAATTGTACGTTAATTTTAAATTAACTCTTATATATGAATTTTAAAATAATGAGGTAGGTCGGTAATGTTAATATAAAATGTTCAATTAATAAAAATATATATCGATAATATCATTTTATATTTTAATATTTGTTAATTAGTCATCAGATTCCGATTGTCTTTCTTCAAACGAATCGACATAGTTAAATGTTCATTCGGTTCATTATACATTTCTACAAATGAATACTTTTTAATATTTCAGCAGGTGTGTCATTTATCTAATATCTATGTATATTTTTTTAAATAATATAAATGAAAGATAAACCAAATTATATTTAATACAAATATCATTTATCATATATCATATATAATATTATATTAAAAGACTGATTAATAGAAAAAAAAAAATGTAATAATGATGCCATGATATAGAGTACAATATAAAATGTATAAAGCGACCAAGAGACACACGTATTTCATGCGATCTTGTGAACATTATAATTAATAAAATAAGAAAGACCTATTTTAGAATTTCATATAATATTTAAAATGTAATTACAAAAATTTCTATATTAAGCAGCGAATTTCCGCAAACATTATTTTGAGTCTGAAAAGCTATTAAGATAAACTATAATTTGTGTAAATAGTGATAGAATGTAAAAATGTATAAATAATAATTTACGCACTTTCATATTTACCAGAAATATCGAAAAAACGTTGTCCAGAAAAAACTTAAATAATCTGTTTACATTTCTTTTTAAAACGTATAGCAATATATTTATCTTGTTTCATAGTACCCATACTATATTTCAGAAAAAAAAAATTAAACAAATTCAAGTTTAAATGGAAGTTATGTGTGGCAATGAAATTTTTATAAATACAGTTTTAAATACCCTATTTTTACTTATCTGGGTATTTAACCAAATTTATAACTAGTAAATTTATGTTCGATAAGTTTTAAATATTTCTAGTTAACTTATAGATAGTCATACATAATTTAATAACATAGATTTAACTTGATAAAACTTTAAAATGTAATTTACATAACTTACCTAAATTACGTTTTAGACTATTGTGTAACACACAGAAGATCTTAATTTCTTAATTTCATCCCATATTTTTTCTCTATATAACGTTTCCGAAACATATTTTTTGGTTTTCAATCCACTCGTGATTATACGGTTACGGATTCCATAATATTTCCCATCACTATGATTACTCAAATAATCATCAGACAAGTGACGCACTAGAGCTGTAAGCGGTTAAAAAAGCGATCCTAAAACTACCCGAGTAAAAAATATAAAAAAAAAATCGATATGACTGTGACGAGGAGGGAAGGAGGGGGTACCCGGTTAAAAAAACACACATCTTGTTTAATGTTTCTGGTCACGTGGTATAAAACATTAACCGCACCCCGTGCCATACTTTTAATATTCTGGTATAGGCCAGGACGTTTCCTTTGGCGTGAAATCGGTTCGATTGGATTTTTCGAAGATTTCAGATCCCTGAATTTTCGCAATTATTAAAACAAATATGTATAGTATATAGGTAACTAGAAATGTCAATAAATCACCTCCAAACTAGATCGAAAACGCTACTTTAGAATTCATCGAGATGCATTTTGACAGCAAAATCAGTCCTATTAAAATTGTATAATAGTAAAATTGATTGTTACTATTATAAACTATGTCGATTTTTATTGTCATTATAAAATATCAAATCATATCAACATCATAATAATAAATGTTATGTTCTTTAAATTCTCACCTAAAACAGTCACACCTACCTATAGTGTAATTATAAAATGTGTCCCATTGTAATATCTCTGGAGATAATAAAGATATCAAATTCTGTTTTTTATTTTTTTTTTTTTTTTTTTTTTTTTTACACATAAAGACAAGGACTACAAACATATGTTTATGTTTTGTCAAAAAGACTAGAAAAATGACTTAATTTAATCATTTTTGAAAAATTTGATAATAGCCATTTCATAGAGTATATTTTTCTGAAAATGTCGACGTTTTAACTTTTTATTTTCATTTAATTCATAATTTTTAATAATTTTTTAACTTTTAAAGAAAAAAAGTGTATAGTAAGTTAAATATAATAATAATAAACAATTAGCGAACGCGATTACAGCCTGTTGCATAATTATAGGTACTTTTCTCTGAAATTTGAAAAATTGGTTAAAATAATGAATTTAATGAAAATAAAAAGTTAAAGTTAAAACGTCGAAATATTCAAAAGAATAAACTCTATAAAATGGATGTATTCACATTTTTTGAAAATAATTTTTTTTTGCTAAAATATAAGAATGTAATTTAATTATAAATATTTATTTTCCTTGTCCGTGCGAGTAACAGAATTTGATTATCTTTATTATCTCCGGAGATATTTCAATAGGTATATTATAGGAAAACGGGAAGATTATTGATTCCAAAAAGTAGACAAAATAGTCGTGGATGGTCAGGTTTTTTTTTATGAAACAAACAAAAGGCCAAAAAGCCGGGTAGATAAAAAATGAAAATTCCAAAGCCTTTTTACATTTTTTTTTTAACTTTCGTCTATCCGTTAAACAAATTGACGGTTTTATTCCAATCATATTGATAAAACTTTTCGTACTTAACATTCAAAACAAACGGGTTTCTTACACTTGTTTTTTGATATTTTGATATGAAAAAACTGAACTTTTTTGGTTACTTAGATTACACGTACGAAATAAAGAACAATAATTATTATTATTGTTTGATTTATTTGTCATAAATAATAAAACACCATTTTAAAAATATAGATTACCAGACAACTTCTATTAATACTGTAATAAGGATGGAAACGAGGAGACATGTTAAATTGAATTTATTTTATTAATTTCTGTTTTCAAATGGCTGATTATTAGATTTTTTTTGTTTGGTCTGTTATATTAATCTTGTTTATTAGTATTTTTATTGAAAAAATATGCACCTATCTAAAATAGTAGCTATTAAAACATTAATTAATGTTACGTACGTATCATTATGCTTTAAAGTTTTAATTAAAACCCTTCGCGTAGTATTTATATAATACATTTGAAAAAATAAATAAATATATTCATTTTTTTTTTCGAGTAAATACCTTTTTTTTTGAGCTCAGCATAAAATGTCTAAACGGCTTTTAAACTGACGACCATTCTTTTTTTTTTTTTCATAAAAACAATCGATTATAATATTATTCAGAGGAAAAAACCCCGTGCTCGTGGCGCGCACGGTGTATAATACACACGTCTGCGATGTGTGAAAAATCGATGATTCGTCAAGGAAATCGGACTATGTTTGATGGCAGTTCTCTATAGCAGTCCGAGAAACTTGTCGGGAAAGCGGTTTTGGGTCGTTCTTCTTCACGATATTATACGTCATGTGGTGCGATACCGTACCCCCGTGATAATTCATCGCCACCTAAATATATTTATATATATATATATAATACGAACATAATTCGAAACCCGCCGAACCGTACGTAACCGGTAGGTAGAAATACTCGTTTTCGGGAGCGGTCGGCCGCAGGAAATAGGGTCGCGGGGGACGTGATGGCGGCGGCGGTCGGCCGGAACTTCCGGAATGATGCGCGCGACGCGACGACACGGGACGATGTCGCTGGCCAAAGCTTAAAGGGGTGCAAAACGGCAAAGGCTACACTATAACCGGGAGTAGACTTTTGACCGTTCCGTGGGAAAAGAATAAATTTTAAAATTGAATAAGTACTGAAAACACAGATAAATCATTGCGATCAAAAAACTATTCTGGGTGGATTAATATAATTCGTATTTTTTCCTTCGTATCCAAATTAGGTATCTTGCAAGAAATCGACAATAAAACTTATGTATACTGACGTTGAACTTGTCGGTTTGTAAATTTTCTAGAAAAACTCCGTTGGGAATCTAGACATTTGTTTAAATAAAGTAGTACCTCTGGGTGAAAAATATATGTCTGTTAAGGTACAAATCGAACAATTTTACTAATCAAAAATGTATTTTCCAAGAAAAAAAAATACATTTAAATAAAACTAATTATTACTTCTTCGCTATTCTTTTTTTATTATATATTTTGTATTTTTTGTTTCTATAAACAACTTTTCTACTAGAAGCTTCCTCCGATTGTCTAGTGTAGTATTTTTAGAATAGATATAAAATTATTTTGTCTGATTGGTGATTTTTATTTTTTTTTTCCTTACACTTTTTTTGTTAATTGGAAAAACGTAAAAACGACAGA